GGGGGCTCGGGAGCCCCGCCCCTGGGCGCGAAGGGGCGGTGCGCTCCGCTCAGCGCAGAGTGCGATTGGGCAGCTGTGTCATGTGACCCGGAGCGCCGCGCTGATTGGCTGCATCCGGTTACTTGGGAGACCAGGGGCGGGTGCTGATGGGGCCAGTGTCCGCCCGACAGGAAGCTGCCCGCGCGGGCGGACTTGCCCAGCCTCCCGGACTGTGAGCCTGCGAGCACGGTCTGCAGATGGGAGCCAGGGTCGCTGAAGATGCGGGCGGGCCCGGGCCAGACGCCGGCTCCGGCGAAGGAGCTCTTCCAGGATGCCGCCTTTCCCGCCTCGGACTCTTCGCTCTTCTCCAACTTGTCCACACCACTGGCCCAGTTCCGGGGGGACATCACGTGGAGGCGGCCCCAGGTGCGTCTCTGGCTTCCGAAGGTGCTGCTCCTTGCTGGGCTGCGGGACATGGGGCAGGGACTGCGATCACCCAGAACCCAGCGTCTCTCTCCCTTACCCGCAGAAATGGGCTTTTGCTCCCAGGAGCCCGCCACCCCAACTCGCTGCTCCGAGCCTATCCTGGGGTTAGGACCAGAGATCGTAGCACCTCCCAGAGCGCTCTAATTCAGGAGGGGGCGGAAAGCGTTTGATCAGAGATATAAACCTGGCTGCTGGCCTCAGTGTGTCTACTCATGAGCAGGGAGGCCCTCCATGCCCCTCTGGACAGGCCAGGGCAGACCATGCCTTCAAAGCAAAGACTTGGTAGCATTTCACTTTGGGCTTATTGCACCTGTGTTTCTTGTTTCTTGAAGATGGGACTGCGAAGAGATGCCCCTGGCCTACTGCTGTGTTGGTTTGTAAAAATGTGTTATCTGCTGAACAAGACCGCCCAGGGAGCACCCCTCCCCTAAATGGGTGGTCCTAGTGGGGACGTTTGGAGGGGACTATCCCAAATAGAGCTGGACCTGCTTGATTCTGGTCGCTGCTGTGCCTTTTAGCAACACCCAGGGCCAGAGAGGAGGCATAATCAGGGCAGGAAGAGCCTTCTAGGGCATGCCAGTGGAATTCCAGTTTTATTTTACTTGAAAAATGGGTTTCGGGTACAAAGAGAGGCTAGTGGAGAGTGTTTAGTAGAGGAGATGTCTGTTGGACACTTGTTTTAAGAAGCTCACTCTTGCTCTTAGGTAGGAAATGGGGTGA